ACTCAGGTTATTTATAATGCTTCCGTGATCATCTAATAGGGCTGATTACGGAGCTAACAAGGAGCCAGCCGTGTTGATTATGAGCACGTGATCCTCTCGAAATTAGTTTATGAATAAACCACACTTAGAGGACTGCATCCATACATCTCTGCAATGACTCAAAACACTTATTAATAAAGTCATCTGGAATGGCAAAGAAAGCGTTCTTGCAGGACTCCCAGAATTCATCACCAATTTTTGGATTCATCTTCAATGCCTTTACCTTCACCTTACCCCAGACATGCACAATAAAGTTCATGCTTGGTGTCTGGGCTGGCCAATCCCGGAGCACCTTGACCCACTTCTTTACTTTGAGGATCTTTGATGTGGAGGCTGAAGTATAAAAAGGAGCGCTATCCTGCTGAAGAATCTGCCCTCTCCTTTGGTTTGTAATGTAATGGGCAGCACAAATGTCTTGATCCCTCAGGCTGATGATGTTGCCATCCACTCTGCAGATCTCTCACACGTCCCCATACTGAATGTAACCCCAAACCATGATTTTTCCTTCACAAAACTTGACTGATTTCTGTGAGAATCTTGGGTCTATGCGGGTTCCAATAAGTCCTCTGCAGTATGTGTGATGATTGGGGTTCAATTCAGCAGATGATTCATGGGAATAATCTACCTTCTGCCACTTTTCCAAATGATCAGCTAGAAGTCAAGTTATTATCTGTTGCCCCTACAACTGGGATTAAAGACAAGGCTTTTGTCAGGTAGTGTATATAAGGCAACGCAAGCTGCAGTAAATTGAAAAAACAACGTATAAAAAGGACAAAAAAAAACTAAAACACTTGAATAGACAAGCATATTAAATAATTTATAAAGCAAAAAATATTAATAATAGCAATATTTATGTAATTCTTTCAAAACCACAGGTTGCCATGTATTCTCTAGGGGGAAAATAACTCATTTAGTTTTCAATGTGCAAGTAACCTTTCAACTCTTTTTTTTTTTTTCAAACAGCTGATAGATCCATCTAAACCAGGGGTCATCAATCTCTGCCCTGAAGTGCCGGTTCCCCTCCAGGGTTTAGCTCCAACCTCCTCAACACACCTGCCTAGATGTTTTAATTATACCTAGTAAGTCCTTGATTAGCTTGTTCAGGTGTGTTTGATTAGGGTTGGAGCTAAAATCTGCAGGACACCGGCCCTCCAGGAACAAGTTTGGTGACCCCTGATCTAAACCTTAAAGGTGACATATCACAGCTTTTCCAAAAGGTGGTTGTTGCTTTTTCTTTTACTTTATTTCTTACATAGGAAAATAGCATTTTTCAAAAATAGAAGCTAAATTTGACCAGCTATATGACATGAGAGCAGCTCCAGTCGGATGGTTCGTGTAAATGAAAACAGTTAATGCATTAGCATGATGTTGTAGGTAAAGTAAATAATTTAATGCTTTTATTGGGATGAAGGTGGTGGCAGAAAAATCAAGGATGAGCCCTTGGAAAGGAAAATAATGCTCTAAATCCCGTTAACAGACAACTCCCTTCAAAAATAAAAGAGAACAGTATCTTAAAACAGGCAGTACATGGTAGTACTATTGGAAACACTGTCAATCAGGATGCTCTCGGTGTGATATTAAAAGTGATGAGGCCTACGAGAGTGCTACAAACATTTTGAAGACTGAGAAGTCCGGATACTAAGTATGTAGAGCACCTGATGGATTATGATAGCTACTAAGTAGAGCAGGAAAGAAAATGCGTAACGTAGTTAAGACCCCATTTAAAAAAGGCAAGATGACGCCAAAGAAATTCCCATCCATGGTCAAAAAGAAACTCGAGCACAGTCCAATGGATGACAGAGCTGCAGCCTTCAATGGCGTATCGGTAACATGATGTCCAGATAGCTTCATTTCAACTGGAAACGATCAGCTGCCAGTTTTTTTTAATTTATTTATTTGTTGTTTTTTTTGCAAACAGTAACTGCTGTCCTCAGCGATTTAGCTTATCAACCGTGACGGCACTAAGTAGAAAAAAATGCATTGATCTAATGCAAAGCACATTACGACGACATAAAGGAAACAATTCTCTTTTGTGTGATTACAGATCGAAGAGAAAGTTGTTTCTAGCTTATATATGTTTTACAGTACATCAAATTCGTCCATACATGTAGTGATGTTATCCACTGGGGCCCGTACGCGGACGAAATCCCGGTTTGGCATACGCTCTCAACAGACTGAGAGAGATGAGGCACGAGAAAAACTAAACTGTGGAAAGCAACTTGATGCATAAATACCTTTCAGCTGGCGCAGGGATGTGATTGGGCCAAGAAAATTCCTGATGTTTTTATTTTGATGCGATTGGATTTGCGCGAGGGGGAAGGGGTGGAGACTAAACATTCGAAGTACAAAATAAAAACACAAATACACACAGGAGCTAATCCTGCATTACGTAACAATTCGCGTATAAGAGCTAAAGTACTTTTATAAGGTGAATCTCACAAAGAAATGTCAAATAAAAAATGTGTGTGCGTCTTTTATGCATTGTTGTGTTCATTTCCTCTCCTTACTGTTATTACCTCAAAGGGAAAGTTCACCCAAAAATGAAATTTTAAAACATCCCATCATTTTTTCAAAACCTATCTCAGTTTCTCTTCTCACAAAAGAAGATATTTAGAAGAATGCACCCATTGTCATCCATATCAGAAAAAAATACAATAGAAGTCAATGGATGTAATAGCTATGCTTCCAATTTCCATGTTCCTAAATATGCAAATTAACTTTGTGCAAAACTGGAATATCGCATAAAAGATGTGAATAAAGCAGCGTTTCCATCCAACGAGAAAAAAAGAAAACAAAATCGTCACTTCCTTATTAACTGGCGCCAATTATCAAATATAAAATGTAATTTGCTGCGGCAGGAGAAGCTGTGCGAATCTTTTCTTTATTTAATAAATGACTTGCGCCTAAGATAATGCCGACACGCAATGAACGCATGGCGGATTTTGAAAGCGAGAAACGCAGACCACAGATGCTCTTGACTATTCTGGAGGTAGTAATTAATATAATACCACTAAAACTGAAATGCTTAAGGTGTTTTAGAATGACCAAAACAACATTTCAGATGGTTTACAATGTGCTCAGCTTGCTGGTTTGTCCATTCACACACATTTTACCTTCACATGATCTCTTATAACAAACTCACGACTTTTTTAATGCGCATACTGGACTTTGTAAGGTAAAAGTGTTTCCATTGTAGTTTATGCGCATCTTTTCTTATCAAATAAAAAGTTTATCCTACTCAGCTATGCGCATACGTTTTTTATGCACGTTTTCAAAATTGATGCGCATCTTGGTATTTTCAATCAACTTTTTTATGCACATATCTAAAATGCACTTAAAAAGCTACTGTTCAACACAACAGAGAAAGGTTTTTAACAAAGGATGGGTGAGTAAATGATTCATTCTTGGGTGAACTACCCCTTTAATGCAAAAACATCTCATTTATGTAATGCAACATAATAAATAAAAAATAATAAAATATAATATTATATAATTCCCGGCGATGGGTTGCAGCTGGAAGGGCATCCTCTGTGTAAAACATATACTACATTAGTTTGCGGTTCATTCCACTTCAGCATCCCTGATTCATAAAGGGACTAAGCTTAAAATAAAATAAATGAATAATATAATATAATATAATATAATAAATATAATTTAATACAATATAATTAATATAATATAATATAATATAATATAATATAATATAATATAATATAATATAATATCATATAATATAATGCAATTTAATATAATATAATATCTTTAATTTGTCCTGATATTAGAAATCTGTCAAATTTAAACTAATGCTACCATGATTTATACTTCTAGCTGTACTGTACAGTTTACAAATTCAACATATTGGCATTATACAAATTTATTAGCAAATCATATATTATGCAGTGGTGTAAAGTAACAAATTACAAGTACTCTGTAATACTGTGAGTAGTTTTTCTTCAGAATTGTTAGTGATTAATTAGTTTTAAAGATGCTGACTTTTACTTTGCCTTGAGTACATTTTTAGTGCAGTATCTGTACTTTTACTCCACTACTTTCCTTCATCCTGCGGTCACTACTTTATTTTTTTCTTGTCTATGATGGGATTTCTGGCCAAACTGCACAAAGAGGTGAAAAGGTAAATCGCATCATGATGAACTAGCTCAGGATATGGGTGATTCATTATTGCAGCGAACTGTTTGGAAGAATTTAAAGTGTGCAAGAAGACCAAAATCTTTACACGCACTGACTTGAGAGTGTTTAAATCAGGGGTGTCCAAACTCAGTCCTAGAGTTTCAACCCCAATCAGACACACCTGGGCTAGCTAACCAAGCTCTTACTAGGCTTTCTTTGAATCAAGTTGGAGCTAAAATCTGCAGGACATCGGCTATCCAGGATTAAGTTTAGACACCCCTGGTTTAGATGCTCATGGATTCAAAAATGATGGATGTTTACTGTATGACGACCGAAATGGCGTTAAAAAAACAAAATAGCTGTCAGATTGAAGTCGTATCCCAACGTCGAGGGGACAGAACTCTAACCCAAAACCAACCAAATATCAAAAGTCTAATGATGTTACGGCTTGTCGTTCTGTGAATGTTTATCAAAGGTCACCACAGTGGAATGAACCACCTACTATTCTGGCTTTACGCAGCAGATGCCCTTCCAGCCGCAACCCAGTACTGGGAAACACCCATGTCAAAAATGTATGGTAAAGTCAAACATATTTTAATAAGGACTTATTACATATATTTAATACATTTACTTCCAGTAAACATGACTAAATATTGCATTTCTTGACATTTCTCCTTGAGATTCACCCGTAGATAGAGGCCATGCCTGATATTGCATAACACCATAGCCTAAATCATAGTGCATATTGTTTTAATTTAAAAGGGAAGGGAAATTCTGCAGCATTCTGGCTTCGGATTTTATGCTCAACAGCCAAACCAAAACACAAACAAATACTGGATTCCTTATTTATATCTTCACCCGCTTAGATCTATAACACAATATTCACAAAATATACAAGAAACACGGATTATCCTCGGCTTATATTGCCATTTAGACTACCTGCAAACCAGGTTAAAGGCAATCGAAGGCAATCTGCCGCATGCAACTCGCCTTTGCTTTAGCCCACCGAAAAGCCAGAAATCTGCATTTGAGCTTAACAATCACATCCCTGAGATTCAAGTTAGCTGACTGTAGCACCAAGGGAAACAAACATCTGGAGAAACGATTTTAAAAAAGAGGGGGAGAGAAGGAAGGACACAGACGTAAATGAAGGCGGAGGGTTTCAGCTTGTGAGCCCATTTAGATATCGTAGCGTTCCCTCTCAGACTCCAGGAATCACACACGGTGGGTTTTTCCGGGGCTGGGGGGGAGGAGTCAGACGTTTGCTCTGACCAGTCTGCCGGCGCGGGGACCCCGGTGCACTTTAGTGTGTTTGGATAGGTGGTCGCTCCTGGCGAACTTTTTGTCGCACATTGTGCACTCGTAAGGCTTGACTCCCGAGTGAGAGCGTCGATGACGGGACAGCTCATCAGAACGAGAAAACCTTTAAAACAGAAATCACAGCAAGATATCAGATCATGACTACTAGAACAAAATCAGCCATTCAAGGCCTCATTATAGGGGTTGATGTTATAAAGATCAGCTTATAATAAAGATTCCAAGTCCAGTCTTACCTCCAGCCACAGTCCGGCCAGCTGCACAGGTAGGGTTTCTCTCCTGTGTGTCTGCGGAAGTGGGCCTTCAGATGGCTGCTTTTAGTGTACATCTTCTCACACCCTGGGTGAGAGCATTTATGTACCCGCAAGGTTTCCGTTGTGGACCTGGATGGACGTGGAGTGATGGCTTTGACCAGGCCTGCGCCCGCGATTCCGACCGCCCTGACGGCAATAGGCAGCGGAGCGATCTTCACATACTTTTGGTCTTGGTTGACAGCTTCGCCCATGATGGGCAGAAGAGTTGCAGACGGCACCTGCGGTGAAAGAAGCGTAATGTTCTGTGTCCCCTGGACACCGAGCACCAGGTGGGCCACGCGGAGCCCACCGGCCACACCCGATTGGTTGTCTGGCTGAGGGAGGGCGTGGCTTAGCTGGAGAGGTTGCAACTGAAGTACAAATGGAGCACCAACGAGCACCGATGTGGCACTAGCTGTAGCGTTAACACTTTGAGTCGTCTGAGACGTTGCCATCATGCTGGATTTCTCCTCAGATTCGCCAGGGGAAGACGGCGGTACAGTAGCGTCATCCTCTTTTGACTTCTCCTCCGGACTCAGAGGAGCATGCAACTCCATCTTCTCCATCAAAAACTCCTCGATGTCCTCCAGGGTTGGGGAGAAGGTGCTGGACAGCTGGGGTATAAAATCAGGCAGCTTGGGTATCTGGGTTAATAGCTCCTCTGCGGAGTCTAGGAAGATCTGCAAAGGGCCTTCGTCTTCATCTTCCTCCCCTGGGCTGAAGCAGAGTCGAGCTCCAGCATCTCCGGTTTCGGGGCTGGAGCAGGAGATGGAGCTGCCCCGCTCGCTGCTCTCACTGCCGCACACCTCCGCGAAGGGCAGGGTGGCCAAGGCATGGTCCGCAAACGATTCATTAGCAGTGGCCACCGCTTTGTCGCTTATGGAGACCATTGGTTGGTGCGCAGGTCAGAAGAAGGCGGAAGTATTGCCTCGGTTTGTAAACACTGCGAGAAGAAAAAAATTGAAGAAAAACTGTGATGTAAAGTGGAACAATTAAAGGGATAGTTCAATAAACAAATGAAAATTACATAATTTTTTGTCCCTCTTTAGACCTTTATGAGATTCTTTCTTCTGCTGTACACAAATTGAGATATTTTGAAGAACGTGGTTTGATTGGACTCATCAACTAGTGATGGTTCGTTCATGAACGATTCGTTCATTTTCAACGAATCTTCAATATGACTCGGGAACTACGACTCCTTTCAGGGAGTGATTCGTTCATCTGCGCGTGCGCACATTTGTGCAGGTGGCCAATCATTTGCATTTAGAGCCGGAAAAAGAATTGAACCATTCATTTCTCGAGTCCTCTATCGGTTCTGAGTCATTCGTTCCTCACAGTCCAATCTTATGCGTTTAGAGCCGGAAAAAGAATTGAATTGAAAGGTGAACTAATTATCATGGCTCCTGTCGACTCAGACTTTGTACATTGGTTAAGATTATATGTGACGGTCACTGTAACGTGAACGAACCACTGACATTTGAAGACATGAAGAGGTGAGCAGAGCCAAGAGACAACAATACCTTCATAGACAAAAGAGCAGGTAAACATTGAATTATTATTTTCTCCTTATAGTATCCTATTTATGACTTATTTGTCATGTGATCATCATTTTGGGCTAGTTGTACATGTGTTTGGAAGCAATTCGTAACATTTTAATAATATTTTGGCAAACTGAACCAAATGAACGAAATGACTCGGAAAAAAGATTCGTTCATCTCGATGAATGAGACTCAAAGATCCGAGTCAGATCTATATATCTATATATCTATAAAATAATCCGAACTTCCCATCACTATCATCAACTTCTATAGTGGGAAAAAATTACTAAGGAAGCCAATGGGTTCAACAAACCAGCAGAAGATCACATTTAAAGTTGAACAAATACCATTTTTAGCAATCCATATATAAAACTAACTTTTGATTATACATTTACAGAAAAAATAAAAAGATGAACTGTCTTCATGGATGTTGGCATGGGACGATAACCACTTTCAAGGTATACCGCAGTTTAGAAAAGTCAAGGTTTTAAAACAGTCAAAATTTTTTCGCAATACCATTCCTACGGTATGCGTAAGATTTTTTTATTTACTTTTTTTGTTGTTGTTTTTCAGGACAGCAGCATCTCCAGCAGAAAAGATATCCAAAGGTGCCGTTTTAAATTGTAAGAAAAATCAGTTTTTGAAATAAATGAAGACAGCAGAAGTCAATGACTCATTTGAATTATTCAGCCTGACATGTTTACTGTCCCAAAATATGTTTCTCAAAATGCAAATAGTGTTCAATAGGGAAAAAAGTTTTTGTTTTTTACCCAGACATTTAAAAAGAGCATATATTAAAGCAATAAACACAATACCGCAAAACAGTTACATTTTTAAAACAAGGTTATCATACCGTCAGAATCCTATATCAGCCCATGCATACATGGAAGACGGTCCTTAGCTAGTATTCTAATGATTTTTGGCAAATATTTTGGAAAATATAAAAGTATCGTTTTAACCCCAAACAAAGTGGCTATTTTGACTCCGCTCAAAAATAGATCCATGCAACATAAAACAGTTTGTTCAACCAGCATTTTTCAAAATATCTTCTCTTGTGATCAACGAAAAAACTCAAATAGGTTTTGAACAAGTGAAGAGTGAGTGAATAAATGATGACAGAATTTTCATTTTTGGGTGAACTATCCCTTTAAGATACTGGCAAGTTCTAAATTATTCATACCCTAGGCAAATTCTGAACTAAAGTTGTTTTATTTCAAGCAGTTTTTTTTCCCCCGAAAATGACACAAGCTTCTCCCAAAAGATAATAAGAGAATGTACAAGAAGCATCATTGTGAGAAAAAAAAATCTCAGCTTTTATTTACCTTCAAACAAAAACCTGAAGTCAGAATTTGGGAGGGTGAAGTCTAATTAGGATACAGCTGCAGATACACACATCAATATATTGAAATTTTTGTGACACTGTATAACAATAGTTAATATTTTTACAGTACTGTGATAGTTAGGGTTTAGGGTTAAGGTAGAGGTAGACGTTAAAAAATAAAACTTACTGTGATGATTGGGTTTAGGTTATGGGTGGGGGTAGACTTTAATGAAATACAATTAATGTGAAATTTTATAAATATTATAAATAATTCTTGTTAACTTCCGGCTGCAACTAAATCCCATCTAGCAACAACCATTTGTCAGAGTTATGAATAATTTCACAAGTGACTGTATACTTGCACATGATAAAATGCACTTTTTAAATTCATTTTAAAGTCATTTAGGTATTTTTGGTACAGATATATTATTATAATTCATACATATACAACATTTCTCTTATTATCAAATAAATATACAAGCGAGAAATATTCTAGGCAATCAAGAAGTTTAAGCACAGCAATAAATAAATAAATAAATAAAAAGCAAATTATAAAAAAGCAAACACCAAATTTTGTGTATTCACTCGTATACACTACAGTCATGCTATTGCTTTATACCATGCTTTAACTTTAAGCTGAATAAAAAATCAAATTTTGATTACATTTTAATAATTTATGAAATATCAGTGTTAATGTTTTGACACAGTTAATTTAAATCTAAATGCTGAAAGCAAAATATCAACCCAAGAGTAATTGTTTACCAGTTTTAAAGCTATGTAACTCATAAAATGGTGCATTATATATATATAAAAAAAATTAATGCTTTTATTTTTTTTTTAACGAAAAACAAACTATTATACACACATGCACTAAACCCGCCTATAATAAATCTGTCTGACGGCTAGTTTGACATCTTGTATCTCATGCAAATGTTAAGCGTCCAAACAATCTCAGAGAGCAATATTTACATGCAGCCACGCTCATCATCATCATCATCATCACCGCCACGCGCATCAGAGATTAAAGCACCGAGGTTTATGGGCTAGAAAGAGGAGGGGCTGTAAAAACACCATCACAACACAAATCACCACCACAACATAAACACAATCCACCAAACGCAAACTAGCAAATCAAACTCGCATCAAAGCCAGCAGCAAAGCTCCACTACAACACTCACACACACAAACACGAGGCTCCAGACATGTGTTTCTCAAAAGTGCGTCAGCAGGGCAGGAAAACAGGCCTGCACACATGCTTTCTGCACACAGCCCAGAAAAACTGCACAATTTCGCAAAACACGGTTAAGATATTTCCGCAAACAGGTGTCAAGTTCGTCAAAGTGGAGCCATTTGGATCGAATCTGACCCTGTGGTAAAATAAAATCGACTTCGCCCTGTTTTATCGAACGCGAGACGATAGTTTTCCTTCTCGTTACCTCGTGTGAATATTGATTAAAGTGTCCGGGTTGTGGATGCACGACATAGGATGAATCCAGGCGTCCCTTTCAATGTTATTGTTGGGAAGAACATCGTCCTTGCCACGGTTCCATGTTGGCATTTCTCACCGAGGCCTGTCACATGACACGCATCGCAATGCACTCGAGGGCACGGATCCGATTCCTGGGTTCTGATTGGTTGCGTGGCGGGGGCTCGCCGCAAAGCGAAGCGCGTCATTGGTTTGGAGTAAAACAAGCTATGCATTATTTATAAGGATAGGAAAAACATCCAACGAAAGCAAAAAAAAAAAAAAACTTCAGACAATGTGATTCTGCACATGTAAATAAGTGTGTATATTTTAGAAATTAAATCATTAATTGTGTTTTTTTATTCATGATTATGATCAATAGGGGTGTTTTCCTAAATGCTGCCTCCAAATACCTTTAAAAAAATTAAGTTTTAATTGTGCTACAAGGTAATCTTGAGGTTTTATGCAAAACATCTGAAACTAAAAATGTACTTTTGTGTGCTTTTATAATTTTACTGGCTTTTAGATAGATAAAAGATCATAGATAGATTTATTATATAATGCAAAATTGGCTATTTTATGTGATAACGTTATATAAAATAATAATAAAATATATTATTCATTCATTCATTTTCCCTCTGCTTAATCCCTTTATTTATCGAGGTTTGCCACAACGGAATGAAATGGCAACTTCTCCAGTACAAGTTTTACGCAGCGGATGCCCTTCCAGTTGCAACCCAGTGCTGGGAAACATCCATACACACTTGCACACAATCATACACTACGGCCTGTTTAGCTTACCCAATTCACCTGTACCGCATGTCTTTGGACTTGTGGGTAAACTGGAGCACCCGGAGGAAACCCACACAAGCACAGGGAGAACATGCAAACTCCACACAGAAATGCCAACTGGCCTAGCTGGGGCTCGAACCAGCGACTTTCTTGCTGTGAGGCGACAGTGCTAGCCACTAAGTCACAGTGTCGCCACAATTAGATATTTAAATCTTATGAACAACAATAGGTTTAAAGTAAATTTTCATTTATTTTTTATGTCATTTATTGCCACACACACAATTTGAGTATTTAGTAGACATACATGTATTTTACAATAGAATAGGAAACAATCACCATTTAGTTGCTAAAACACAGCAATGGATGAGTTTTGACATGTACAGCTGCAAAAAGTTTCAATAAAATAAAAACTAAAAATGAAAGCATAAATAAATAATAAACTAAAGCAGGAAAAATCAAGACAATTCCATCAATGAAGAAATAGAACTGAGTGAACGGTGGAGAAAATGAAGGTAAATAAAACAGCAGCTATTTAGACACTAGAGGGCGGCAGTTGATAAAGAACTGACTGATAATCAGTAATCTACATCTTACATTATTATATTTATATGAACTTGCTATTTTGCTTTACATTATATAAACCAAATATCTCTATGTGTGTCTATAACTAAAACAAATTATAAAAAGTAAACTAAATTAAGTGCATAGATCTGTTTGTATGGCAACTCAGTGTGTTATTAAACTTAATTATTAAGATAATCAGCTTTAGAGTTTCAGTTAATTTAGCACAAGAATAAAAAAGAGGAAAGAATAAGTAAATCTTCAGACATGTGATTCACAGCATGCCTAGAGCTATGTAACTCTTTTTCCATGTTGCACAGGGTTGTGTCAGAAAATGTAAAGCGTGAAACTTTCAGTCCTCCATGTTTTAAATCACATATTCAGCTTATTTACTATTCAGCTCTTGACGTCATCTATATAAATAAATAAATTGGAAAATGTTTAAGACCCTTTAAAAATGTTTGACCACATATATAGCTGAATATTCATTCATTCATTTTCTTATCGGCTTAGTCCCTTTATTATTCCGGGGTCGCAACAGCGGAATGAACCACCAACTTATCCAACAGGTTTTTACACAGCGGATGCCCTTCCAGCAGCAACCCATGTCTTGGAAACATCCACACACACATTCACACACACACACACTCATACACTACGGACAATTTATCCTACCCAATTCAGCTGTACCGCATGTCTTTGGACTGTGGGGGAAACCAGAGCACCCGGAGGAAACCCACATAAATGCAGGGAGAACATGCAAACTCCACTCAGAAACACCAACTGAGCCAAGGCTCGAACCAGCAACCCAGCCACCTTCTTGCTGTGAGGCGACAGCACTACCTACTGCGCCACTGCTTCGCCCCCATAGCTGAATATATTCAGCCAAATTACATATATTGCTATGAACAAAAAAACTGCTTCAGTTACTCATCAAATCATTCATTTGTTTATTTTCCTTCGGCTTGGTCTCTTATTCATTAGGGGTTGCCACAGTGGAAAGAACCACCAACTTATCCAGCATATGTTTTACACAGTGAATGCTGTGGTTCTCTTCTAAGACTGCTGCCCCTGTGACGCAGTTACTGAAATGCGATTGAAAATGAATGTTTGAATTTGATTATGCGCAAAATAGCTGCAAATGGCAACACATTTTTCTACATTTGGAAGGAATGTGATCAGTAGTTTATATAATGAAATGAACAATACATCTTACTCACTAAAAGTTTGAGTATAGAGAAATCTTTCATTTAAGCGGTCTTATAATTTTTTATTTATAGCTACAGTTAAAGTCAGAATTATTAGCCCCCTGTTTATTTTTCCCCCAATTTCTTTTTAATGGAAAGAAGATCAACACATTTCTAAACATAATAGTTTTAATAACTCATCTCTATTAACTGATTTATTTTAGTAAATAATACTTGACTAGATATTTTTCAAGACACTTCTATACAGCTTAAAGTGACATTTAAAGGCTTAACTAGGGTAATTAGGTTAACTAGGCAGATTAGGGTAATTAAGTTATTGTATATCCATGTTTTTGTTCTGTAGCCTATGAGAAAAAAATATATAGCTTAAAGGGGCTAATAATGTTGACCTGAAAATGGTGTTTAAAAAGTTAAAAAACTGCTTTTATTCTAGCCAAAATAAAACAAATAAGAGTTTCTCCAGAAGAAAAAATATTATCAGACATGCTGTGCAAATTTCCTTGCTCTGTTAAACATCATTTGGGAAATATTGGAAAATGAAAATAATTCAATGGGGGGCGAATAATTCTGACTTGAAATGTATTTACAGTTGAAGTCAGAATTATTAGACCTACTGAATATATTTTCCCTAATTCATGATGCCTACTGATTATACCTGAAAACAGCTTTGGAACATGATTATTTAAACATTTAAAAACAGATTAAAATAATTACATTTAATAAAACTATCATAACTAAAAAGGTTATGTTTATATAAAACATCACAATGTTCCATCGCATAGGCTTTAAGAATTTTAATTGCTTATTATTATATCAAATCAACAGGCTTCAATGTGGTCTATATTTTAAGATATTTTTCAAGATACTAGTATTCCACTTAAAGTGACATTTAAAGGCTTAACTTTTCATTGTATAACAGTTGTTTGTGTTGTAGACAATCGAAAAAAAATTGCTTAAGAGGGCTAATAACCTTAAAAATGTTTTATAACAATATAATATAATATAATATAATATAATATAATATAATATAATATAATATAATATAATATAACATAATATAATATAATATAATATAATATAATATAATATAATATAATATAACATAATATAATATAATAAAATAAAACTTTATAATATAACTTTATATAATTATATAAAGAATAAACTATTTATTCTAGCCAAAATAAAACTAATAAGACTTTTTCCAGAAGAAAAATATTATAGGAAATACTGTGAAAAATACCTTCATTTAAGAAATACATATATTCAGTTTCCTTCAGTAGTCACTTATTTATCAGGGATCGCCACAGAGGAATGAACCGCCAACTTATCCAGCATATGTTTTATGCAGCGAATGGCCTTCCAGCCACAACCCAGTACTTTTGGGAACATTTGGGAAATATTTCAATAAAATAAACTAACAGGAGGGCTAGTAATTGTGACTTTAACTGTATATTGATATATATTTATTAAGCTAATTGTAATGCATTGACCTTTAATTGCACGTTTGCCATTGCTCTTTCCAAAAACTACAAACAGAACCAGCTGCCATTTCTGTATTATTCTTTTCTTTGTCCAGAGTCATTTGCTCTCTATCATCTCATTCACCTTGCATCAATATCCGCCTTCTCAAAGACGATCTTACTGGAGAAATACACGGCCACGACACTCAGCACAGACGCGCAGGCCATGTACGCTGTCACGCTGTGGAAAAGCTGCACAATGGAGCCCATTAAGAGTGACGGCAGCACGTGAGACAGCAGGTAGGCACTGTCTAATATGGCGATGTCTGTGCCCATTCCTCTGAGTGATGATGCTGGCGGATCCATGGGGATAGACACTTGCAGATCTAATGTTTTAATATTGTTCTGGAAGGATATGGCACCCGGATACCCATTGACACATCCATTGGTCCTTTTCTGCTTTGCTGAGAAGTGTGTCTCTGATTTGATCAACTTTAGATCATCCTCCTTGAGGGGCAACTGGCGTCTGTCATTGGAGAAAAACACCTGGAAATTGTGAATGCAACACATTAGAATAGAACACATGGGTCAGGGATTTTCTGTATTTATGTACACTCAAAACATTCATTCATTTTATTTTCGTCCCTTTAATAGTCTGGGGTCACCACAACGGAATGAATTGCCAATTTATCCAGCATATGTTTTACGCAGTGGATGCCCTTCCAGCTGCAAACCATCACTGGAAAATTGTTCCAAAATATATTATCAAAATATTTGAGAATATGAGAATATGTTTCTCAAAATATATTTTGAACAGAGGTGAAACAAGTTTTAGTTTTTTTACCCAGACATTTAAAAAGAATACATTTTAAAGCAGTAATCACAATACCATGAAACCGTGATTGTCACACAACCAGCGATCGCTTTCCAGAGATCGCTGGTTCTCACACGAACACCAGAACTTCACTTTCGCATTTCCCAGGACTACATATTCATACATGCACTTCTTCCAAACACGCACGCCTGCTCATTCATCTCGCTTGATTACATACACCAGCTGAACCTTGTCAAAGACTGATAACACACCATACTTAAGCCATTCATGAAC